CCTGTGCATTTATTCATTCTACTAATATTTAATAAATGGGATACAAAGAGGACTTAAATAGAAAGTTCACTGAATGAATGACTATATAAGTGTAAGGTGACCAAAGCCTTAGAGGGAAGAAGATATAGTGGATTGGGTCTTTGCTTTGTCTGGGTTTTATACTTTTAATAAAATCCATTGGAAAGTATAGGCTTGCCCTAGAAAAAATGCATATTCCTAAGTATTTAGTCCATATTTTGTGTCCAATCTGAAAAATGTTCATGGATTCATGGATACTGAAGCCCACTGGACAATTTTATTGGTAGTTGGTGGGGGCAGAATTTACTTACAACCTTTGGTCAAAGTAACCTGACCTACCTTAACCCCACAATCCCACTTTTGGGAATATTTGTCACAAATAAAAATACCTAGGATATATGTACCAAGGTGTTTATTATGTTAAAGGAGGGGCGGGGGGAGAAATGTTCCCAAACTAAGAACATCATGTGTATACATGTGCCTACCTATGCCATTCCTAAGGCTTGAATTCAGAACCTGACAGTTGTCCCTGAACTTTTTTTTTTTTTGCCAGTCGTGGAGTCTGAACTCTGGGCCTGGGCGCTGTCCCTCAGCTCTTCAGCTCAAGGCTAGCACTCTACCACTTGAGCCACAGCGCCACTTCCGGCTTTTTTTGCTTATGTGGTGCTGAGGAATCGAACCCAGGGCCTCATGCATGCAAAGCCAGCACTCTACCACTGAGCCAACTTCCCAGCCCCATCCCTGAACTTTTTTGCTCAAGGCTAGCCAAGCCACATCTTCCCCTTGAGCCCAGGGCCTCATGCATGCAAGGCAAGCGCTCTACCACTGAGCCACCTTCCCAGCTGTGGCTCAAGTGGTAGAGCTCTAGCCTTGATCAGACCCAAAAAATCAAAAACAAAAACAAAAAAAAACAAAAAAAGAAAATATGCTTCTTATTGATCTATGCTTCTTAGATGGGTGGAGCATATTAATTGACCAAAAATTGGCAAAAATCTGTAGCGTAGAGTTCTTGCCTTGCATGCATGAGGCCCTGGGTTTGATTCCTCAGCACCACATAAGCCGAAAAGGCTGGAAGTGTCGCTATGGCTCAAGTGGTAAAGCGCTCACCTTGAGCTGAAGAGCTCAGGGACAGCACCCAGGACCAGAGTTCAGGCCCCATGACCAACAAAAAATATACCTCAGAAGTATCAAATGCCTCCTAAGTAATTTAATTGTGTTTTAGAATAAAATGCAATGCCCTTATAAAGAACACAATAAAATGCGGCACTGGACATTAAAAAAATTCACCAGCTTCAACATCTGCTCTGAAGTCATTAGGCACTTAAAGAAACAGCAAGTAGCACCCACAACAAATTAAAATACCAAAGAAAAATGTAGAATTTACAAAACACTTAGAAATTCAAACACCACAACAATGCTTGATAAGAAATGTACTCATGGGGCTGGGAAGGAGGCTCAGTGGTAAAGCGCTTGCCTTGCATGCATGAGGCCCTGGGTTCGATTCCTCAGCACCACATAAGCAGGAAAAAAAAAAGCTGGAAGTGGCACTGTGGCTCAAGTGGTAGAGCGCTAGCCTTGAGCTGAAGAGCTGAGGGACAGTGCCCAGGCCCAGAGTTCAGGCCCCATAACCGGACCCCAAAAAAAAAAAAAAAAGAAATGTACTCATTACCTTGCTCATGTAATAGTAACCCCTCTGTATGGTATTTTTATAATTAAAAAAAAAGATTAAAACACCAAGGAAGATCAAAGTACCTAGAAATTGCAAAGATGGTAGATTTGTAGACAAGGTCCTTAAAATGTTTATTATAAATTTTATCAATTTCTCAGAGGTATAAAATAACACAATCTGGAGAGCATGAAAGCTAAAATAAAAAGCACAAATTGTGCTTCTGGAGATTAAAAATATATCACTTTGTGTGGGTTTACAGAAGTCTAGAAACTAGGGAAAAGATGAGTGAACTTGAAGAGAAGTATTTAAAACACGAAAAAGACTGAAAAATATACAGGACATCAGCAAACTTTGGTACAGTAGTAACTGTTCATATAAACACAAGGGAAATCTTGAGGTGAGAAAAAAATTGAGGAAATAATAGCTAAAAGTTTTTCCACCTAGGCATTGCTGGCTCACACCTGCAATCTTAGCTACTCAGGAAGCTGAGATCTGAGGATCACAGTTCAAAGCCAGCCCAGGCAGGAAAGTCTGTGATACTCTTATCTCCAGTTCACCACCAGAAAACTGGAAGTGGCTTTGTGGTTCAAGTGGTAGATAAAGCACTTGCCTTGAGCTGAAGAGCTGAGGGACAGTGCCCAGGCCCAGCGTTTAAGCCCCATGATTGCCACACAAAAAAAGGTTTTCCAGCTTGATCCAAGGAATTTACTCGACTCCATATCGAGGAATCATGCAAAAGATACACCAAGGCACATCAAAATCAAGTTGCTGGAGACTACCTCTAAAGAGCATTCAGTCTAGGAATGTGGCTTATTGGTATGCTTGAAGCCTTGGTAAAACATAAACAGAAAAAGCCAGAAGTGGCATATAGCTCAAGTGTAGAGTGCTAGCCTTGATCAAAAGAAGCTCAGGGACAGCGCCCAGGCCCTGAATTCATGCCCCAGGACTGGCAAAAAGAAAAAAAGAAAGCAAGGAAGGAAAAAAAGGAGGAAGAAAGCTAGCTGGGTGCTAGTGGCTGATACCCATAGTCCTAGCTACTTAGGAAGCAAAGATCTGAGGACTGTGGATTTAAGCTGGCCTGAGAAAGAAAGTCAGTGAGACTCTTATCTCTAATTAGACACCAGAAAACTGGAAGTAGAGCAGTGGCTCAAAGTGGTAGAATACTAGCCTTGAGCAAAAGAGATAGGGACAATACCCAGGCCCTGAGTTCAAGCCCCAAGACTGACAAAAACAAACAAAAAACCACCCTCATCAGCTGTACGCTAAGGAGTTTTATATGTAAATTATAATTCAATAGAGTTTAGTATTAAAAACATATGTAAGAATTTTTATTTAATTCAGATGTCAATGACATTGTTACAGGAGTAAAAGCAAGTTATATAGTAACAAGTAATATAATCTCCTTTAATAATATTGAGAGCTGGGCCGGACACTGGTGGCTCACACCTGTAATCCTAGCTACTCAGGAGGCTGAGATCTGAGGATCGCGGTTCAAAGCCAGCCCAGCCTGCAAAGTCCGTGAGACTCTGATTTCCAAAAGGCCACCAGAAAACCAGAAGAGGCACTGTGGCTCAAGTGTTTGGCTTGAGCTGAAGAGCTGAGGGACAGCGCCCAGAGTTCAAGTCCCACAACTGACGCCCCCCCCCCCCCCAAAAAAAAAATGGGTACTCATGGCTTCTGCCTACAATCCTAGATACTTAGGAACTGAGATCTGAAGAATCATTGCTCAAAGACAACACATAGTACTCCATCTCTAGTTAAACAAGAAGTCGTACTGGAGGCATGGCTCAATGGTAGATTATCAGCCTGGCATCAGCAGACTGAAGGAGTAGAAAATATTGATTTCAAGGACTGGTAAATACTGGGGGAACCTGTGTGTCCTCTGTCTGTGTATATTTAAAATGTCATGGAGAAATCCCTAACGGAAATCCCTAAGTTTTTCCTTATATATCATTGGATGGTTTCATGTTTTACAGTAAATACTTACAATATTAATCATTAATAATAAAAATGAGGGGTATGTAAAAATGATGTAGATGGAGGTGTGGTGGAGGAAGGTGTCCACCAGTCAGTGCACAGAGGTCAAAGGGAACCAAAGGTGATTGTTAGACTTAATAACAACAACAAATCATCTTTGAGCAAGGTACTGGTGGCTCATGCCTGTAATCCTAGCTACTCAGTAGGCTGAGATTTGAGGATAGTGGTTCAAAGCCAGCTTGGGTAGGAACACCTGTGAGACTCTTATCTCCAATAAACCACCAGAAAACTGGAAGTGCTACTGTGGTTCAAGTGGTAGAGCGCTAGCCTTGAGCTGAAGAACTGAGGGATAGTGCCCAGGCCCAGAGTTCAAGCCCCATGATAGACCAGAAAAAAAAAGAAAAAAAATTTAGGAAGCTGTAACATCAGCTGGAAGCTTTAGGACAGAGATACTTACAGTTTTGATACTTATAGTAAAGAAAATCAGTGAAGACCTGACCAGAGATGTTTAATGTGGTTATTTGTGAAATCATGTTGAGAAATACTTCAAGATGTAAGGGCAGTTGTTGTAAGAACAGAAATAGATGTAATCACTTCCCTAGAACTCAATTTATACCCTCATAGCTGACATAGTAACACAACTTTCCAAATCCTTGTCTGTAATCATTTTTTTTTCTTTTGTCTCAATACTGGGGCCTGAACTCAGGGCCTGAGCGCTGTCCTTGAGCTTTTGTGCTCTATCACTTGAGTCACAGCTCCACTTCTAGCTTTTTTGGTAGTTAACTGGAGATGAGTCTCATGGGCTTTCCTGACTGGGCAGCCTTTGAACTGCAGTCCTCAGATCTCAGCCTCCTAAGTAGTTAGGATTACAGGCGTGAGCCATCATAGCACATGGGCTTGTCTTTTAAGAACTCAACTCCCAAGAGACAACTGGGACCAAAGTCTTGACCTCGTCTGGAGCATCAGTGGTATACTAGTGCAAGTCACAGTCTCTCTACCTAGTTTTCTCAGTGAAATGGGATTAGTAATAGTACTTACCTCATAGTGTTCCTGTGAGATAATGTGTACACAGAGGTCAGTTTACTACTCAGCTTCTGTTCTGGGGGTAGTATCTCTAGGTGTTGAGTCCAGGCCCTATGATCAATGATGTCATAATGCCCTACTAGACTCCAACTTCTCCATTAGGTAGTTTTGGATCCTTTGGTGCCAAGGAATGGAACTGACATGTGACACCTCTATCAACTGAAAGTTTTATGAACACACTCCTTTGTCAAGATTTTAGTGAATAGTGTCTCACTGTGCAATTGTGTCTCTAGAAATTATTTTACTTTTGATCATGATTGTGATTGGCTGGATGCTTTTTGTTGGACTTACATGTTACATGGGTACATTTCCAGAGTTGGTGGTAAGTAGTGGCCTTGCGTATAATTCACTGGTGATCCATCCTGACTCTGCCTCACCCTCTTGTGGGAATTCTGACCAACGGGGAAACACTGTTTTGGTCTCAACACCAATTGCAAGTTGGAGACAAAGTTAAGACATATTTCTTTTAAATCATCAAGTCTTCTTGCTTTCTCTTTCCTCTATTTTATCCTCCTTCTCTTGGATATGCAACTTGTTTCAAGGCAGCATAGAATTTATAAGGGGTTCATTGAAGACTGCCTGATTTTTGAGTTTCAAGTTGAGAAGTTGCTGTTAGGAAGGGGAATTGGGACCAGGGGGACCTTTGATCAGCTCCTTCTGGTCACCATACAGAAGGCACTGAACAACAGAAAAAGCGATTGTTGTCATCCCTTTCTTTAATTTTCTTTCTGATTCAGCCTCCAACTCTAAAGTGGAAAGAGAGGTGGCCTGTTCAGAAGAGCAAGGCACGACGGAAGAACCAGGCTTTGGAAGAAGAGCTGTCCCTGTGAGTGGGTAATCCGGTCTGTTGGGTTAGGTTCCTAATTTCCAGAGAACTCTGCAGCACTCGGGAGTCTCAGTGGAGTTTCTATTCTCTTGGAAAAGATAGCCAACTATGAAAGGGTAAATGATAAGTATATGGTAGGCAAAGAATTGGAAGAGAACTTCTGGGGATAGAAGGCCAAGGTTCAAATGTCTGTTCACACTGTGTCTTTGGGATTATTCTTTTTGAAGACTTCAAACTTTCTCCTCAAACATCAGCACATTTGAAAACTGTTTTGTGTATGTTCATTGTACAGAATAATGGATTTCATTGGGACATTTTCATGCATGTATACAACCTACTTTGATCATATACTTGCTTCCCATTACCCTCTATGTTCCCTTTCCCTTATCTCTCTGTTCCCCTTCTTCTTCCTAGACATGGGCTTTTTTTTTTTGCTCCCTGGTTGCTAGGTTTATAGATATGCCCCACCAGGTTCAACTTACTAAGATGGGAGTTCTGCTATTTTTTTTTTCCCTACCTGGCCTATAACTGCTGTCATCTTATTCTCAGGCTCCTGATTAGCTGGGATTACAGGCCTAATTCACCATGCCTACTCTTTGTGTGTGTGTGTGTGTGTGTGTGTGTGTGTGTGTGTGTGTGTGTGTGTGTGGCTTGAACTCAGAGCCTGGACACTGTCCCTGTACTTTTTTGCTCAAGGCTAGAGCTCTACAACTTGAGCCACAGCTCTGCTTCTAGCTTTTTTTTTTGGCAGTTAATTGGAGATAAGAATCTTAGGGAGGTTTTTTGCCCAAGTTGGCTTTGATGTGATCCTCAGAACTCAGCCTTCTGAATAACTGGTATTATAAAATGTGAACCATCAGTGCCTAGCATGCCCACTCTTTACAGACTTTTTAATGCCCCTTTTGGCATATTGTGAAACAAGTTACTATGAACTTGAGTTCATTCTCCTTTTGCAACTTGCTAGCTCTGTGATCTAGTAGCTATACCCCAATTTCTTCATCTATGCAATGAAATCTATGTCAGTATCTTATTATTTGGTTTTGCTTTTTTTTGGGGGGGGGTCCAGTCATGGGGCCTGAACTCTGGGCCTGGGCGCTGTCCCTCAGCTCTTCAGCTCAAGGCTAGCACTCTACCACTTGAGCCACAGAACCACTTTGGCTTTTTTCTTTTTGCTTATGTGGTGCTGAGGAATCGAACCCAGGGTCTCAGGCATGCAAGGCAAGTGCTCTACCACTGAGTCACCTTCCCAGCCCCAAGAAGCATATTTTCTTTTTTTTTGGTCCGGTCATGGGACCTGAACTCTGGGCCTGGATGCTGTCCCTCAGCTCTTCAGCTCAAGGCTAGTGCTCTACCACTTGAGCCACAGCGCCACTCTTGGCTTTTTCCTTTTTGCTTATGTGGTGCTGAGGAATCGAACCCAGGGCCTCAGGCATGCAAGGCAAACACGCTACCACTGAGCCACCTTCCCAGCCCCAGTATCTTATTATTTGGGAAGATTACATTTGTGAATTTATGTAAGGTATTTAATGTCAATTAGTATTTACTTAACAACTGCCTTAACCGCTAGGCAAAATAATGAACCTATGAACAAAGATTTACTGGGACAATGACCTCAAGCACTTACTCCTATACAACTAGCTCATTGGTATAGGTAGAATACATATACATCCTCTCACACATTCCGTTAGACCAGCCTGCCTATAGATAACATCATAGTATTCTTCAGCAAACCTTAAGGACTTCTTGCATCCCACTCATTTCATTTGGACTTGTGTTTCAGAGCAGTTCCATCATTAAAGAAACTTAGTAGTTTTAACAATATTCTGTTTACTTGTACAGAAGTGTTTTGGGAAAGCTACTTCAGAAGGTAGGGATGTCAAACCAAGGTCCCAGGTGTACTAAAAGCAGGAAATGATGGTTGGACTTTAAGTTTCCATCTATGCAATGATTTTCTGTGAGCTTTGGCCTAAAGCCAGATATCTGTGAGTGTAGTGATATATATGGAAGAAAGGTTCTTAGTTGTTTACTGAATACTATTCTGAGATCCTGATTAACATTTAAACCAGTGTATTTCTCCTGCTGTGAAATGAGCATAGTAGTCAGTCATCTTCCTTCTCATTCTAGAGGCTGTGAAGTGCCTTGTTCTGCATGAGGTTTTAATTGTCATTTTAAATTACAAGATTTTCCCTCTTTGAACAGCACAAATAGAACAAAGCTAGTTACTTAGTCTTATCTAGCCAGTTCAATAAATCCAATGAGGGCTTTTCCCCCCCATAGATACTTTTTTTTAAAGTTTTGTGAATTTTTTAAACTTTATCGTGTTTATGTGGTACCAAGGAATCGAACCCAGGGCCTCATGCATGCTAGGCAAGCACTCTACCACTAAGCCACATTCCTTGCCCTCCATAGCTATTTTTTTTATATCTGGTTACTTAAAGCAATAAACATTTTGGCTTGCAATACATTATTAAGGATGTGATTCTACCTAGGTCCCAAATAGTCACCAAGAATAAGACTTTTCTTTTTTGACAGTCCTGGGGCTTGAACTCAGGGCCTGGGCACTGTTTCTGAGCCTCTCTGTGCTCAAGCACTCTACCACTTGAGCCACAGCATCACTTCTGGCTTTTTCTGCTTATGTGGTACCGAGGAATTGAACTCAGGGCTTCGTGCATGCTAGGCAAGCACTCTACCACTAAACCACCTTCCCAGCCCAAGAATAAGACTCTTTTAATAAGATTTTTAACCACAACATTTCTGTCATGCTGACCAGACATCCCATTACTGCTCACCCAGTGTCATAGACCAATGTCATAATTGATGTCTGACCCCTGCCCCCAAAATGGCCATGAAGAGCCTTTTTAGTTCAGACTAGACCACGAGGGTCCTCTGTCAGGAACTGTCATGCTGGGCCACCCACCATCTGGTCTCTAATGAAGACAGCCCAATTCCCAGGACTTAGGAAATAGAACACTACACCTTCCCAAACCACCCACTTCTGCACATATCACCAGCTAAGTAAGAAATCCACAATGATTGTCGTCTTATGGATGCTTCTCATTGCAGGAACAATGTGGAAGGGATATAAATACCCTCCAGGAGGGGTAAGTGTACCTTTGACTTCCTGATATCTACTTTAAAATGCATGTCCAGGATTAACAAGCTAATCATAAAAATTCACTTCCAGTAACTTTAGAAAACTCTTGTGTATTAAGAAGTTATTGTAGTTTATCTATTTCTATTATTTACTCAGAAGTGGGAAGATTCCCACATTCATACGTTCTCTTATACATATTTTAAAAATTCTTCACCTTAAAAAAATAAAAATAAAAAAATTCTTCACATAAAGGAAATATCTGTGGCCCAGAGTCAGTGGTTTCTGACTTGAGTGAAGTAGTCCATTATGTTAACCAGATGCCTATTTTTTGTTGTTGGTCATGAGGCCTGAACTCTGGTTCTGGGCGCCTGTCCCTGAGCTCTTCACCTCAAGGCTAGCGCCCTACTACTTGAGCCACAGCACCACTTCCAGCATTTTCTGTTTATGTGGTGCTGAGGAATCAAACCCAGGTCCTCATGCACAAGAGGCAAGCACTCTACTACTGAGCTACCTTCCCAGCCCCCAACGAGATGTCTTTAATGTTCAGCCATTTATACCATTTCCTGAATCAATTCATTTCAGCAACCCAAACTAAAGCTCTTCCTTGAGTAAAACTTGTTTGTTAATGGTTGTAGGGGCAACAACTAGACACACCTAATCAACTTTTTTCCCCTCAGACTCCTCTGGAAGTAAGCAAGGATGATCCTGGTGAAGTCATGCAGCTCTGAAGCTCACCTGAATAACTGTACAGTTCCTGTTGTTGGTTTCACATAAAAGAATTGCACATTATTTTGTCATAGTTTATGTAAAGTTACTGTACTTTCGAAGATGAACACTTAGCTCCTTATGGGGAGATGATGAAGAGGCAGTTGGGGAGGATAGATCCTTTCTTTCTATCCTTTCCCAGTCTGGGAATTAAAAGGCTGGGATTTAAAGCTACTCCATGTGTGTGTGTGTCCAGGGGCTTGAACTCAGGGCTTGGGCACTGTCCCAGAGCTGGCATTTAAAGCTACTCTGTGTGTGTGTATATGTGTGTGTGTGTGTGTGTGTCCAGGGGCTTGAACTCAGGGCTTGGGCACTGTGCCAGAGCTTCTTTTGCTCAAGGCTAGCACTTGAGTCACAGCTCCACTTCCAGCTTTTTGGTGATTACTGGAGATGTCTCACCAACTTTCCTGCCACAACTGGCCTTGAATTGTAATCCTCAGATCTCAGCTTCCTGAGTAACTATGATTATAGGCACAGCCAATAGAGCTGGCATCCAGCTCTATTCTTTCTGTATTCATAAGAATACAAACTAGAGTACTCTTAGATCTATTTCCCAAGTAATACCCTTCTCCTAAATTGTGGGGGAAAAATGTTAACAGGGTTCAGGGTTAAACCTGATCTTTGGACATGTCATCCCTGTAGCCTTTTCATAGATATTACTAAGAATCCAGAGCTTACCCGACCCATGTGTGGAAGGTCCTCATTTTAATACTGGGGCCAGATACTAAAATATAACTTAATTCTTACAATTGCTTTCTAAAACTGGATAGCCTCATTTTATAAAGGAGCAAAATTGAGGCCAAAAGGCCTTAAGTATCTTGCCAACACACACAGCCCAGGGTCACAGTCAAGATTAAAATTTGGGGGCTGGGAAGATGGCTCAGTGGTAGAGCGCTTGCCTTGCATGCCTGAGGCCCTGGGTTCGATTCCTCAGCACCACATAAGCAAAAAAAAAAAAAAAAGCCAGAAGTGGCGCTGTGGCTCAAGTGGTAGAGCACTAGCCTTGAGCTGAGGAGCTGAGGGACAGAGTTCAGGCCCCATGACCAGGACCCCCCCCAAAAAAGATTAAAATTTGGGCTTTCTCCAATGCATGCCTTTATGTGCCATAACAAGAATCAATCAAATATGAGGAAATGGTTTCCCTCACCTTAAAGCTTAAGTTGTCCAGTGTTGTTTTTAAACATGTATAAAAACAAAAGCTGCTTATGCCTATAATCCTAGCTACTCAGGGGGCTCAGATCTGAGGATGACAGTTCAAAGCCAGCCTAGGCAGCAAAGTCTGTGAGACTTTTATCTCCAGAAAATTGGAAGTGGTGCTGTGGCTTAAGTGGTAGAGTGCTCACCTTGAGCTGAAGAGCTGAGGGACAGTGCCCAGGCTGAGTTCAAGCCCCATCACCGAGACAAAAACAAAAGAATAAAAAAAAACAAAAGCTAACTATGCAGCCTTGAATATGATGGATGCAGTGAGGTATGAAACCAGGGATGGGAGACCAAGACCTATAAAATTAACAAATCAGGTTTATAAACCCGGGATCTTAATAAGCCCTCTAAAGGTAGCTTTGGCTTGAGAATTTCTCTCTCTTCTCTCTCTCTCACACACACACACCGGGGAGTGGGAGCTTGGGGGTGACTGACACTTGTTCAAGAAAAATGTACCTTTCCCATCACAGCACATTTTTTGGTTTCACAGGAAGTGTTTTGTAGATGGTACATTTACTAAGCTATACGTGTTCTCTGCACTGAATGGATTCCCTTTTTATGGAAAGGAAAATGAATTCAAAATTTATAAACTCAAGTATATGTAAATTCTGAATCTAGGATATTATCATCTCTCTTGTATATTGGATGACTTAGACTCACTTGATTCACTCCAGTGAATCAAGCACCTACACTGTTGCATGGCTCTGCCCACCTGCTCATATAATCCTAGGACTAATTTTCTCATTGTGTACAAGAACTACATACTCAGGTCTACTTTCCCCTCCAATTTGAGTAAACTTCCAAAACTCAAGCCCCAAAACTAGATTCTGCTACTCTAACCACCTTATAGTTCTCCTAACTTGGATATCTTCAGAGCACAAAGGTACTCTAAACTGGTACTGGAAGCACTGGTAGGAGCTGAAAAGACATTGATGTGTAAGACAGTATGTGCGGAAGTATGTATAGGAAACAAACCTGACCTCTGAAGTCTGACAAGTTTACTAAAATTTACTAAAATTTCTAGCAGGAAAAATATTTTTTTTTTGGCCAGACCTAGGCTTGAACTCAGAGCTTGGGCACTGTCCCTGAGCCGCTCTGTGCCCAAGGCTAGCACTCTACTACTTGAGCCACAGCTTTTTCTGTTTATGTGGTTCTGAATCAAACCCAAGGCTTCATACATGTTAGGCAAGCACTCTATCACTAAGCTACATTCCCAGCCTGTTAAAACATTTTGTCAGTTTTGTCCAATAAAGGCAAACCAGTAAGAATATCAATAAAATACTTTAATGCCTACAATTTCTTGTATACATAAATGGCAAAACATTCACCTGTATTTGCAAAAGTATATTCTCTTGCAGGTCAACAGCACCAGAAAACAAGCTAAGCTACGTAAAAGGTTTCCATTTAAACTTTTGATTTGTCCATTATGCAAAAGACATGGATTTAATAACTCCAAAGAAATCTATATTCCACTCTTAATCATATACTACACACCTGAATATTTATCACATCCATTCACAAAATAAATAGTAGTCTAATCAGCACACTGAAAATAAAATGACCAGTCTTTCTTCATATATTTATTCTCTTTCCAAAAATGTTTTGGTCTTCTGCTATATCTCAGAAATTTAATAATAGCTGCTGTGAAGTTACAAAATACAAAATAATTTATTTCTTGGAGAAAATCTTGGGGATTACTTTTTGAAATTAAGTTTTGAGTTCCCATAGACTTTCTTTATAGTCTTTGAACTTTCTCATGGCACACATGTAAGGCTGCCCGTGACATGTGGTACCCTGGCCTCCAAATGGATATATTTGCATTTGTAGTTTACAAAAAATACACAGATAAGTCCTGAAAGTAGCCTTAAAAGAAAGTACCCTTTGCTTTGACATATAACATCAGAAGCAACTGGGACTGTGCAATCAGAGCTGTGAGTTTTATGAAAACTACTTTCCTTACACATAATTTGTGTTAGAGAATACCACACCCATGATCATGTAACATTACAATTGTGAAATAACATTACTACATTCGTGAATTAATATTACCCAATAAAAGGCACATCTTCAAATATTAAGAAAATCTGAAAATCAAGACAGAGAATATACTAAAAACCAAGCACTTAATTTGTAAACCTTGATAAAATAACAGCCTATTCCAGTTTCTTCAAAGGTTGTGTGAAGAGTGGTCAGGAAGTACAGAAGAACAAGATGGAAGACAGGATTTGAAAACAAGGCCAAGATTAAAAGACCTATTTTTAAAAAAATAAGTCCTTTTATAATATTGATGCAAATTAGCATCTATGATAGAAGAAACGACGTGGGACAGACATTACAATCTGACTCTTCCTACGAAGTTCTGTAACTTTAGCACAGATTCCTTTCTGTACAAATAAGTGTACCATATCAGTAAATGCTAGTAAACTTTAAAAGCCATCAGAAATCTTTTGGCTATGACAAGCACTTGATTGTAATTAAATTTCAGTCTTACTATTGAAAAAATATTCAATAATTCTCAAAAATATATCCAATAAAGATCATATAAGTAGGGTGGGGAGGGGTGGAAGCAAATAAATGATGGCAAAGAAAATGTTCTAAACCTATATTATCAAATGGAGTATGACACTATCCTTAAATCAATTTCATTGAAGGTATTTGAGATGGCTGAGAGTATAGGATTTTCTAGTACTACTGTAAAAGATCTATGTGGAGAGTTAGGGTGTTACAATTAGTGATTAAGACAACTTTCATATGGTATTCAATTTTAAAATTAGTTCCTTGTACTTTCAAAAGTCAGAAACAATTCATGAATTACTTCTAGACTGTGTCACATGGTCCCATTGAGGAAGGCTAATAACAATGGTAAACTACAATTCCCAAACTTTGAAGAAAAAAAGATTTTATGGATAAAAATATACAAAACAGCTGGACTTGTTGAAAAGTAAGGATTCTTAGTGGGACATTCCCTCTAATTTCCTATTCTTTTTCCAATGGCTTCAGATAGCCAGAACATTTATTGTAGAATTTTCCTACAAGCTTAGTTCTGTCTCCAATCCTTCATATTTAGAATGAAGGACAAATATTCTTAACAGCATTATCGCATTTTCTGATGCTGACCTTGAGACTTAGCTTCCTTCCAGCCATGTCTGGAACTGCTTGGACTTGAGGCCAAAGTGATAGCAAGTCTGTAAGTCTGACTTAAAGAGTGAAACTAAAGTCCCAAGGCCCAATAAAATACCAGTATAGGAAACACCCCTTTTTTTTCTACCTGGGGAAAAATTCTCTTCACAGTGCATAGTTTGAAACAAAGTGCAATATGGGCACAAGGAGAAGGTGGTGCTCTTGAAATACACAAATTTAAACGTTTTTGGTTTTTGCCATTTATATTAGGGAAGTTAAGCTAAAAATGCAAAGTCAAGAGGTACAGGGCACACTGGGATTCCAACGTATCTTTATGATGGGAAGGTTATCTTTTTGATTGTGAGGGAAACCTCACATGTCACTTCCTTAGTTTTTAAACTATAACTTTTTCAAATCTACTGTTTGAATAACTTTTTCAATATAAAAATGAATTTTTAAGATTTAAAATTAATCAGCACAATGACCTTGTCTATTTTATATTAAAACCAACATAACAATCTGAAAGGAAAACTTGGAAAATATTCCTATACTGACATTTGTATTTTTAACTTGGAAACTTAAAAAAACATTGCCAGATTCCCTAAATTAGTAAGAATGCTCAGCATCCAATCCACAAATAATGAAGAATACAATATAATTTATTCTATTTTGCACTTCTGAGTCACAAGGATGACACCCATGTGATAATTATAAAGCCTACTCTACATTTTTGAGTTCTCAATCTGAACACAGATTAGGACAGGCCACTTATTGCTGACAACATTCATGAAGGGTCAAGTGCTTCATAAAGACAGTAAGTTTGACTAGAAGTTGAACAGTATCCTCCTCACACATCAGTGGAATTTTAAAAGGTGGAGACAATCTTTTTTTTTTTTTTTTAACCTTAAAGCAGCAAAGGAACAATAAAAGATTGACTGGTGAGTAACCCCACAGAGTGCATAGCTCATCAGGACAAAGGTTAACATCTGTGAACAGGTGACTTCATAAGAGCACACAGCAGACATTTTACCATCTACATTAAGATTTCACCCTGGAGTATTGAAAATACTTTATGCTCAAATGACAGCCTGCATTGACAGTATGCATTCCTTCTCCTTGAGTACCCAAGTACAAATATAAAATGGTAAGGAGGCTTATTCAGTCTGAAGGCAGGAAATCCTTGCAGCAGTCTTCCTAGAGTTTTACAAAAATAAGCAGCAGCTAACGTCTCTTCAGCTTCTTAACCTTTCGACGTTTCATTTCTTCTTCCTCACGTCTCATTTCCTCTAAGTCTTCTTGCATACCTAGTCTTAAGCTGTTAAAAAAATTTAAACAGTATTTAATATACATGAGATTGCTACTTTAAAAGCAACATGAAATTTCAACTGGGAGCTCACATGGATTGTGCTGCTAAGCCATTACTGTTTTAAGATGCCTTGATATAAATTTATCTCAAAAGTATTTAAAAATAGGCCTGGGGATTTAGTTCAGTGGTACAATATCTGCTTAGCATGCACATGGTTCTAGACTCAATCCACAACACCAAAAAGACTAAAAAGCAAAAAAGAAACAGTAATATTTTTTCCCAATAGCTTATTCTGGCATTTTATCTAGTTAGAGGAGAGGAGGTCTAAGAGGAAGAAAAGAGGCTTCCTACTGTAGATTAAGACTGAAGTGAGCCGGGCGCTGGTGGCTCACGCCTGTAATCCTAGCTACTCAGGAGGCTGAGATCTGAGGATCGCGGTTCAAAGCCAGCCTGGGCAGGAGAGACCGTGAGACTCCTATCTCCAATAAACCACCAGAAAACCGGAAGTGGCGCTGTAGCTCAAGTGGTAGAGCGCTCGCCTTAAGCTGAAGAGCTGAGGGACAGCGCCCAGGCCCAGAGTTCAAGCCCCACGACCGACAAAAAAAAAAAAAAAAAGACTGAAGTGAATTACAATAATGAAAACCCTAAGCAAAGTCATCAGGGTACCTCCTACTCAAGAAATTATCAGTTTATCCAGACAGCCAAACATGAATTAGGTGGAGGGAATCTAACAACCTGAGGCTAGCAAGATTACATCTGAAGTGGAAAGAAAAAAAAAAAAAAAAAAAAATCACAATTAGAATTAGGGGAGGCTTCTAATTTTCTATAATATACATGTGAGGCACTATAAGCATCTTGTATACATATCACCTCAATCCACTATCTCAGCAAGGGAAAGTACAGTTTCATTTCACAAATGAGAAAAAATTTTAAGAGTTAATGCATTTCACAAGACAATATGTTGGAAATAATCTGTACAACTCAGAGTGAGAGAAAGATTAGAGGGGGAGGGAAAGTGAGAGAAAAATAAGGGAAAGGGTAAAAAGTTTGACAAGAAATGTACTTATTATCTTACTTATGTAACTATAACTCCTCTGTGCATCACCATGACAATAAAAAAAACTTAATGCATTTGTCTAAGGCCCTTACAGCTAATTGACAGGATGATAGTTCAGAACTGTGTAGGCCAAAACACATTTCCAATATTCCAAATGTAGCAACAGGCAGAATTATTTATGTTTTTGGTGCTGGTCCTGGGGCTTGAACTCAGGGCTTGGACACTGACCCTGAGCTTTTTTGCTCACGGCCAGCATTTTACCACTTGAGCCACAGCTCCACTTCCAGCACTTTTGGCAAGAGTCTCATGGACTTTCCTGTACAGGCTGGGTTCAAACCGTGGTCTTTAAATCTCAGCCTTATGAGTAGCTAGGATTATAGGCGTGAGCCACTGGCACCAGGCTGAAAAGAACTTTTAGAACATCTGTGCATGAATGTATTATTTTTTGCTTACCTCTTTGCTTCTTCTTTTTGCTGCTCTTTCCAGCTACTTTCCATGTAACGTAAGGCATAATCACTTTCATCTTTGTATCTAATAAGAGAAAATCAAAATTGTAAAAAATAAAATTCAGCTTTCTAAAAGATCTACATCTTCTCATTTAAAAAAGAAATCTTGGCTGGAGTAGCAGCACTTGCCTAAAAATATCACTTTTAGCCAGGTACCAGGGTAGCTCACACCTGTCATCCTAGCTACTTAGGAGGCTGAGAACTAGGGGATTGTTTCAAAGCTAGGGAGTGGAGGTGTGTTTCAGATGAGAGCCAGCTAAAGAATTGGACCAAAAAAAAAGAAAAAAGAAAAAAAAAAAGGTTCAAAACTAGCTGGGAGGAAAAGTCCTCAAAATTCCATCTCCAATCAACCAGCAAAATGCTGGACTGGGAACTGGGAAGGTGGTTCAGTGGTAGAGTGCTTGCCTTGCATGCATGAGGCCCTGGGTTCAATTCCTCAGCACTACATACACAGAAAAAGCCGGAAATGGTGCTGTGGCTCAAGTGGTAGAGCACTAGCCTTGAGCTGAAGAGGTAAGGGACAGCACCCAGGCCCAGAGTTCAGGACTGGAATTGTGACTCACGTAGAAGAGTACCAGCTATGAGCAAAGAAGCCAAGTAAGAGCACAGGTCAAGTTCACACTCTTGACAGTGAGGCATGCACATGCACACATAGACCTCTTCAAAAGAAACACATTTTTAGTATCATTCCTCCTTGCTTGGTGGGAAGAGAGCGGAGCAGATAATGGGTATAACTGGATCTCTGCAGTACAGACATTCAATGAGCTATTATTACCCCAAGAAGTGACATTACCCTGAGAAGTAATTATTCCTGAATATAATATAGTGTTAAGTAAAGCACCAATCCATAAGGCTTTTTCAACTCAATCAGCTATGTCCTTGATAATTCACATTAAAATCGAGAAAGCACAATGAAATTTTTTTTTTGGTAGGTTGTGGGGCTTGAACTCTGGACTTGGGCCTGTCCCGGTGCTCTTCAGCTCAAGGTGAGTGCTCTACCACTTGAGCCACAGTGCCACTTCTGCTTTTCTAGTAGTTTATTGGAGATAAGAGTCTCACCGACTTTCCTGCCTGGGCTGGCTTTGAACCGTGATCCTCAGATCTCAATCTCCTTAGTAGCTAAGATTATAGGTGAGCTACTGGCACCCAGCTTGAAAGTTGTTTGTATATATCATCTCATCTAACACACACACACACACACACACACACACACACACACACACACACACACACACACACGTGCATGCACACATGCCCGCCCCATTGTCAGAGACAGATATGTATATACACACACACACACACATACATACATACAGTAAATAGGTCAATGGTTTGACCAAGAACATGTAGCTAGGTTAGTAACAGATTTTCTATTTTCTTTGAAGACAAGGTCTTGCTATGTTGCCTAGACTGACTGGCCTTAAATTCACCACCTTCCTACTTCAGCCTCCATTACACCTGGGCTCAGATGAGATTTTTTTTGTTGTTAGTCATGGGGCTTTAACGCTGGGCCTGGGTGCTGTCCCTCAGCTCCACTTCAAGGCAAGTGCTCTACCATTTGAGCCACAGTGCCACTTTCTGTTTTCTAGTGGTTAATTGGAGATAAGAGTCTCATGGACTTTTCCTGCCCGGGCTGGCTTTGAACTGCAATACTCAGATTTTAGCCTCCTGAGTAGCTAGGATTGCAGGTGTGAGCCACTGGAGCCTGGCTCAGATGAGATTTTTTTTTTTTTTTTGTCGGTCGTGGGGCTTGAACTCTGGGCCTGGGCGCTGTCCCTCAGCTCTTCAGCTCAAGGCGAGCGCTCTACCACTTGAGCTACAGCGCCACTTCCGGTTTTCTGGTGGTTTATTGGAGATAGGAGTCTCACGGTCTCTCCTGCCCGGGCTGGCTTTGAACCGAGATCCTCAGATCTCAGCCTCCTGAGTAGCTAGCAGCGCCCAGCTTCAGATGAGATTTTTAGATCGGATTTTTAACCTAGTTCTTCTGTCCACTCTATAAGGTATTTTTGTTGTTGTTGCTTGGTTTTGGTGCCAGTTCTGGGGACTGAACTCAAGGCCTAGACTCTGACCTTAAGCTTTTTTGCTCAAGGCTAGCACTCTACCACTTTGAGCTACTTCCAGCTTTTTGGTGGTTAACTGAAGATAAGAGTCTCTAGGACTGTCTGGCCTAAGCGGGCACTGTGAACTTCAGATATCAGCCAACTGATTAGCTAGGATTACAGGCTTGAGCCACTGGTGCCAGCAAGTGTTTTTTTTGGTTTTTTTTTGTTTGTTTATTTGCTTTTATTCTGCTGGTCCTTTGGCTTGAACTCTGGGCCGGGGTGCTGTCCTTAGCTTCTTTTGCTCAAGATGAGCATTACCACTTGAGCCACAGTGCCACTATCAGCTTTTTTGAGTAGTGTATTGGAGATAAGAGTCTCCGGAGTTTCTTGCCCAGGCTGGCTTTGAACCGCGATCAGGCTGGCTTTGAACCGCGATCCTCAGATCCCAGTCTCTTGAGTAGCTAGGATTACAGGCGTGAGCCACCAGCAACTGGCAAGTTTTTTTTTTTTTAATGACTTTAAGATATTACAAATTCTCAGATCCAGGAGCTTATAAAAATTACCAACAATTACTAACTTAGATAAAGAATTGTGATACATTATTTGTTTTACATGTACATTGCCTAATTTAATCCTTCCAAAATATCATTTAGAAAATAAATTACTGGGGGCTGGGAAGGTGGTTCAGTGGTAGACTGCTTGCTTTGCATGCATGAGGCCCTGGGTTCGATTCCTCAGCACCACATAAAGAGAAAAAGCTAGAAGTGGTACTGTGGCTCAAGTGGTAGAGCGCTAGCCTTGAGTTGAAGAGTTGAGGGACAGCGCCCAGGCTCAGAGTTCAAGCCCCACAACTGACCAAAACAAAAACAAGCCTCAATTTTACCTAGCTATTAAGTGGGGAAATTTTATTTCAAACCCCTGATATAACAATAAAAATAGTTCTCTAATATGCACATTTATGAATTGGATTCAGTAATGCAGACTGAAAAGCCTGCATTGTCAACAACCTTAGTTACATCAGAGCTGCCAGTCCTATACTACTGTCCAAAGACCACATTCTTGACCTGTACTATCTTTTATACAATTAGAAAAGCCTTTCTAGTTAGAAAGGCTTTCAATCTGGCTCTGTAAAAAGCTTTCTGACTCCAATGCCAATCTACTTCTATTATAAAGCTGCTTCACTCTCCTAAATATTTAGGAGAGTTCTTTTATAAGAACAAGCCTAAAAGTGCAATTTTTTAGCTTTTATGCAAATAACTATACAAACTATTATTAATTAAAAATACTGTGTTAAAGAATAACTATATTTAGCTGGGCGCTGGTGGCTCACGCCTGTAATCCTAGCTACTCAGGAGGCTGAGATCTGAGGATCATGGTTCAAAGCCAGCCCGGGCAGGAGAGACCGTGAGACTCCTATCTCCAATAAACCACCAGAAAACCGGAAGTGGCGCTGTAGCTCAAGTGGTAGAGTGCTCGCCTTGAGCTGAAGAGCTGAGGGACAGCGCCCAGGCCCAGAGTTCAAGCCCCACGACCGACAAAAAAAAAAAGAATAACTATATTTAAAATAACTATGACCCAAGAGTTTCTAATTAAACACTCTATTCAACACTACTATGAATATTTCTCCCTCATAATGTGAATTATTCAAAATAAGCAAGCCATAGTAGTACATAATTGTAATCCCAACACTTAGGAGGCACTTAGGAGGTTAAAACAAGACAACCTCAGCTACATAGCATGACCCTATCTCAAAAAACTAAACAACGACAACAATGAAATATACCATATTTATCTAAATCTTGAGACTTACTTTTTTCGGTCATAGCCAAAGATTTCCCGAATGTGCTTGGATATTTCTTCCTGAGGTTCTCCTTCATCCTCAATAAAATCATCCATTTCAGAATCATATTCATCATCTTCTTCCTCTTCATAGTCTCGTTGCCTTTTGTAACCAGGAAAGGGAAGCCTCTGAGGACCTAAATACAGAGACAAATATTTGTAATTAAACCTCAAAGTATTTCTAGTAGAGTTCTACATAAATTGGGATCTTTAAAAATATTTAAAAATTAGGGCAAGCAGGCTGGCTCTCAGCATGGTGCCATGTTATTCCTGCTGCATATGGGATCTAGAAGGAACGGAATGCCTACTCTAGGGCTTATTAGAAATGCTTTACTACATATATTTAGCTTAGTAGTACTGTACTTCTGGGACTTAAAAGATTAGCAGAATTTCTAAAACAATAAAAGTTATAGAATCATGAAATTTGTGTTTGTGTGTGTGCGTGATGGTTCTGGGGATTGAACTCAGATCTTGGGTGTTGTCTCTGAGCTTTTGTGCTCAAGACTAGAACTCTATCACTTGAGTTGAAGTGCCATTTCCAGCTTTTTGGTAGTTAATTGGAGATAAGAGTCTCAGGGACTTTCTTGCCCAGGCTAACTTCAAACTGCAATCCTCATATCTCAGCCTATGGAGTAGCTAAGAATTCAGGTGTAGCCGGGCGCTGGTGGCTCACGCCTGTAATCCTAGCTACTCAGGAGGCTGAGATCTGAGGATCGCGGTTCAAAGCCAGCCAGGACAGGAGAGACCATGAGACTCCTATCTCCAATAAACCACCAGAAAACCGGAAGTGGCGCTGTAGCTCAAGTGGTAGAGCGCTCGCCTTGAGCTGAAGAGCTGAGGGACAGCGCCCAGGCCCAGAGTTCAAGCCCCACGACCGACCAAAAAAAAAAAAAAGAATTCAGGTGTGAGCTACTGGTCCCTGGCAGAATCAGGAATGTTTAGTTATGTCAAGGAAAGGCATCAAAGTCACACAATTCTATTTTGATCACCATAATTTCTGTCTATAAATTTTAAGTCCTGTACACACATAGCCCCAGCTATCAGAAGGCTATGACAAGGAGGATCACTGTACCCAGGAGTTCAAGATCAGCCTGGAAAACATAGCCAAAAAAAAAAAAAAAGGAACAGAATAGAAATTATAGAAAATTGTTCAAACTGAGCAATTTTGGAAAAACTTTTAACTATTTTTTGCCATTTTGCCAAAAGGATTAAAAAAAAAAAACCCAAAACAAAAACAACTCCACAAAAGATAGGCATGAGCTAGTAGGCCAATACTGGGAACAAGTGCATTCTAGACTTTGACTACAGACACTCCTTTTGTTGTTCTATGATGGTTTTTAATATGTATGGCCTGTTCTCCTAGCTCAGTTTCTCCATCTTGACATTATATAACATTATGGCCAGATGATTCAGTGTTATAGGAGGCTGCCTTGTGCTATTTGTATTAGCGGCATCCCTGTCAGTAATATGCCCTGTTCTGAGCTGTGACAATTAAATGTCTCCAGATATGTAAAATGTCACTTTTGGGTGTCTAGCTGAATTAGGATTATTTTTAAAAAATTACATCACTTGTTTCTTCTCACATTCTACACAATGTTTAACAAGTGTTTTAACAAATGCCTAATAGCATGTAGACCAAGCAACTAGCAGGTACTACCAACAATCTTGTACCTTGGTCCTAACCAGTGGTTAGAACCTTGATTACTATCCTTGAAGAAAAGTAAGGACAGTCTAAAATAGTTCATGGTACATAAACAGGTGCTTAACACATTTTTGGTGAGTGAACAACGCAATAAAGGCTTCAAGCTTGAAATTATAGTATCATAGTTAAGGACAGATCTCTTTATGATAAAGATCTCTTCAGGACAAAGAATATTTTATCTGTTAAATCACATAGGGCATGTACAGTAACACAATCTCACAAATGACAAAACCAAGATTATTATCTTGGGGATACTGCAGGGATCAACAAAGAGGACCCTACATAAGCCTTCTTTCTAAACTCTTACCCAAACCACTATCATTAAAGGAATTCTTAGGTACAGGGCAGACAAAGTATCAAGAGTCTATCAGCACTAGCACACATTAATGGGTCCTTGGTTACATTAAATGAAGTACTCTCTTCCTAGTACAAATATATATTCTATAAAATGAAGGGCACAGTCTTACCTTGGGCAGATCTATAGCCAGGTAGAGGAGGCCTCATTCCATTCATTTGTCCACTGTTGGATCGGCTAATAATATTCTTTGAGGAAATTGTTTCTGACACAACAGTACACTTGGGCTTTGTGGGGGGATCTGGGCTACTAATTGTTTTCCCAGGTCCGAGGCTGCTCACTGGTCTCCCAGGACCTGAAGTACTGACAGTTCGTCCAGCTGGAACTGAACCACTTATGGATCGCCCAGGGCCACTTACTGACTTCCCATGGTGGCCTGGGCCACTCACTGGTCGTCGAAGTTCATGAGGACTGCTTCCTGGCCGCCCAAGGCTTCCAGAGTTGCCCACAGGTCTTCCAGAACTACCTGAACCACAGCTGGGTTGACCAGGGCCACTTGAGCTGCTTGTAGGTCGTCCAGGACCACTTGTACCACTCACTGTCCACCCAGAGGCATTTGTGTTATTGGCTACCTTCTTGGTCCCACTGACTGATCGCTCAGTTCCTGAGCTGGAGCTGCCATTCTGGCGCCTGGGAACAGGGGCAGAACCATGAGTGGGCCGAGTTGTACCTAAGCTGGTCCGCCCAGGGGCTAAGTTGGAGCTGCTGCCAGTCTGCTTGATACCTGAACTCTTAGCTTTATTGTTTGGAGTAACCGTGAGCCCAGGCTTGGAATGGCTAGGATTAGGAGATTTTTTGGCTTTGTGCTCAGTGGCAGATTTCTGAGTCCCACTAGCAGAAGTCTTTGGGACACTTGGTGAATAGGTGCTGGAGTGAGGCTTTTTCGCCCCATTGAAAACAAGTCTGTCATGACCCTCATGAATTGAGGGTTGGGAGCTACTGCCAGATCCTGACTTGGTCCTCTCTGCTGGCGTGAATTTGGATAAAGACAAAACTGAGTGTTTCCCATTGGCTGGGCTGGGTCTGGATTTCTTCTCAGGATGAGGAAAAGGTACTCCCTTAGAAGAAGGTTGCCTGTCCCCAGAACCTTTGCTAAGTTTTGTCACCATACTTTCTTTCTGAATGGGTACCTTTTTGGACACAGTTGGAGGTAGTTTTGCATCTGTCTCAGGTTTCTTTTTCCTATGCTTTCGTTCAAGGAATTCACGCTCCCGAAGTTCTTCTGCAGTCATAGGCCTTTCTTCTGATTTCTTTACTACTTTGATCTCCACTGGTTCAAACTGCTTTTTCTCAGCCAGTCTCAGTAAATCAGTGAAGTTCATAGGTGGTGGGGCACTTTTAAGGGGGACCTTTGGTTTGCTTTCAACTTTGGGAGGTTCCTGCTCTTCCTCATACTCCTCCTCTGATACTGCTTGATTGTATTCATAGAACGCATTCTCTTCTTCCACCTCATACTCCTGGTCTGGTCGATGGCTGGTGTGGCTGTCCACTGTTTGCCTCTTCTTTGACTTTTCCTCAATAGGAATCCCATCATAACCATGGAAATTATCCTTAGTCCTTTTGGCCATAGCTCTTGCTTTCTTGTCATGTTTGAGCTCAATTCGCTTTCTCACTAGGTCTTCTTTTCTCTTTTTCTCTTCTAAGGCTAAAAGGAACAAAATAAAAACATATTATTTATTTCAAGGTCTCAAAACAGCAGAACGCTCATGTGGCATTGGTAGGTAGCCAAAACAATCTTCAAGTTATACTTTGAAGATATCTAGGAATCAAATGAGGAAGTTGCCTGAACAAATACCAATTGAGTCATTTTTACATAATGAATAGATCATGAGTTTTTCTACATGACTAAGCAATTGGGGGACTTGGTTTTCAGCTTTAAGTACACCAATCAATTAGTACCCACTTAGAATTTTGTTAATAATTACAAATATTCAAGCTTTTTGAATAGCTATTTACATTAAGTATAACTTCTTGAGATTACTAGTTTAAAAAAAAAATCTTGTTTGGCAGGGGGAAAGAGGGGTCCTGAGACTTGAACTCAGGACCTAAGCTTTTGCTCAAGGGTAGTGCTCTTCAGCCACAGTGCCACTTCTGGCCTTTTCTGAGTAGTTTATTGGAGATAAGAGTCTCATGGTACTGGTAGCTCAGCCTGTAATCCTAGCTACTCAGGAGGCTGAGATCTGAGGATCATGGTTCAAAGCCAGCCCAGGCAGAAAAGTCTCCATGACTCTTATCTCCAATTAACCACTGAAAAACTGGAAGTAGATCTGTGGTTCAAAATGCTAGAATGCCAGCCTTGAGCAAAGGAAGTTCAGAGCAGCACCCAGGCCCACAACCAACAACAAAAAATTTCATGGACTTTCCTACTCAGGCTGGCTTTGAGCCATGATCTTCACATCTCAGCCTCTTGAGTAACTAGGATTACCACATCAGCACCTGGCTAAAAATTTTCCTATTTTAATTACTGAGCTCTAAAATAACTTACTAATTTAAAAATGTAATATGTACAGTTTCAGAACCAAAGTTGAAGAATGGCATTGTTACTGGGGGCTTACTATGGTCATAATAACTAACTCCAATAACTTTTTTGTTTTAAATGGTGGCTTACTATGTTATCTAGGCTCATATCAAGGTCCTGGGCTCAAATAACTATCTTGACTCACATTCCTTAGTAGCTGGGACACACCACTATGCCTAGCTCCAAAAACATTTAAGGCAGATTAACAAATAAACAAAGAGCAAACTTCCATCAAACAACCAATACATGAACACATGTAAAGCTATACAAAGTCAATCCAGAGAGTCACACTCACTATCTGAAATCCATGGCCAGTTATGTTTTTTTGTCTACAAACAACCACTGGTTAAGTACATACTAGATATGAAAATGGGAATCTTTAAAATGGAGAATAAGGCATACATACCTTTTCGTCTAAGCTCTTCTTCTTTCCTTCGAAGAAAAGCTTGTACCGCCTCTGATTGGACACCTTTAACTTTTGGGTCTTTCTTGGGAGGTCCCACTGCCAAACTGTATCTTTTCTAAAAATAAAAACAGAGTAAAAACAATAAGCAAACCAACCTTACAAAATATATTGTCTAGGGGCTGAAGGGGAGTGGTGGTGGCAGAGATATAGCTTAGTAGAAACAGTGCTGGTGTAGAATGCCCCAGGCCTGGGTTCAATTCCCAGTGCCACTAACCTCCCCTTTCCTCAGAAATAAGTGTTTCCAAGCCCAATTTTCCTTTTTTTTGCCAATCCTGAGATTTGAAATCAGGCCCTGGGCACTGTCCCTGAACTTCTTTTGCTCAAGGCTAGCATTACCACTTGAGCCACGGCACCACTTCCAGCATTTTCTGTGTATGTGGTACTGAGGAATCGAACCAGGGCTTCATGCATGCTAGGCAAGCACTCTACCACTAAGCTACATTCCCAGTCTCAATTTTCATGCCAAAAAACGGCCACGTTTCTATACACTATTTTGTGGCAAGATCTTATAACTTCATAGGTTACTTTGCTTAAAACAAGGAAACATAAATTTTGAAATTTGTTAGTTGCAAACCATAGTTTTATCACAGCAATTTATAGCCTAAAAGCATTTCAAAGAAATTTAGGGGTACTACTTAGCATTTGTGAAGCATTGGGTCAATTCCTAACACTGCAGAAAAATAAAAATAGAAGGAAAGAAAGTAGAAGGGAAGGAGGGGGGAAGGGAAAGAGGGAAGAAAGAAGGGAAGAAGGATGGGGGAGAAATGGAGGGAATGAAATGTAAACAGAAAGGACCTAATTCTCAGTAATCTTTAGCTGCAGCCTTACATTTATTAAATATTTGCTGTACAAACTCTCATTTATATAGGTTTCCATATCATCTAAAAAGTGCTGGTTCTATCTTGGCACAGATGATATTCTTCTGAACCTTAATAATTTAAACAAGGGACAAACAATTCGCCTCCAGGACCATTCACATTAAGTTTATGGGCTAGGAAATAAAGGTGTTATTTTTGGTTTATTTGTTCTGTTGTTTTTTTGTTTTGTCAGTGCTGGGGCTTCACACAGTAGGCAAGTACTATATACTACTAAGCTTTAGGCTCCTCCACCCTGGAAATATGATTTAAAAAGTGTTCTTCCTCTTTTGTCTTGTTAGGCAGATATCATTCTCATCCACCGCATTTGTTAATGACCTAGTAGAAAATGAAGTAATCTCTGAGAACAAGTAAGCAATTTATAAACCTAAAACAAATTCCCACTATGCGTAAGAAATCCTTGGAGGAAAGCCAAAGGCTCTGTGCAGTAAACTAAAGGTTGCTAAATACAAACTATCTTGAAGCAGGCTCAAATTCCAACTAAATTAGCATACCAATAAAGCAGCTGGCCAAGGAGGTAGGCCCTAATCCAACCTGAAAATCCTGCATGATAGCAATGCTAAGAACTTAAACATCTCTGACACAGAAGACCCAAGACAGTATCCAAAATTATTCCCCAGTTATGCTGGCCAGGACACAATGAAATCTCTTAGTCTACATCTTTCTAAATTGAATTGTAGTCTCTTTCAATAGAGGACAGAGAGCAGACATTTAAAGGAGAAAAAAAAGGGAAGAGAATGAGATATAGAACTAGATATGTTAACATTTTCATCATGGAAATTCTACCATTAAAACAATTCCTTCTGGTTGAACCACTACTAAATATCCTCATGCTGCTGATCACAAATATGGTATATAACATGTGAACACTGTTATATATTACAGACTGTGGTAGACAATTTGCTCCAGGGAAGTTAGAATGAACTTGTGACTTTGAAATTATGTAATCATTTAATCACAATCAAAAAAAAAAAAAAAAAAAAAAAAGAACCTCGGGGAAGGGAGGGGATGGTAGGGGGAAAACAATGGAGGGGGTAACAATGTTCAAGAGGAAGTGTACTCATAACCTCACTCATGTAACTGTAACCCTCTGTATAGTAGCTTTACAATAAAAAATAAATAAATAAAATAAAATACAGGCACAGTTCCAGAAAAAAAAAAAAAAAAAACAATTCCTGATTCAAATTAAAATGTTTGAAAACTCATAATAGGCAGAGTCACAAATTAATTCCAGTTTATCTCATCAGGAAGTTTTGAAAGAAAGGAAAGGTTTAAATTTTGTTGCCAAGATTGTAAGATTTTTTTATTCCTGGTTCAATTAATATATAACTCAGAGGGCCAGGTATATATAGCTAAATGGCAGACTGCTTGGCCTAGCAATCAGTCAACTTTAGCTATCAATCAATCAATCAATCAATCATAGATTTACCTGCCAAATCAAAGCTGACAGTTCCCTCCAGAAAAATTAGAACATACATATTATCAATACTTATTTAACAAGACAAGAATGTTATCTAGGTAACACAGCACCAAGCATCACACAACATGATTATGAGACATCTTTTGTCCTAACCTGGGACTCCAAGGGATAAAAACTGGGATATTATAACAGAAAAGCTGTTTGGAACTGAGAAGCCAAAAAAGAAAGTATGAGACAAAGTTGAATGTGTTTGCCAAGTTTTGGTCATTTACCTAATACATCTTTCATGAATTTTTACTTTTTCAATATACTTCCTGAACTACTACTATGAGCAAATGAACCTAACACTTTGATCTATTACTCTAGTGCTGAGATAGAGCTCAGAATATTGATGAAATGCCTCCGCTGAAAAGCTATAGTTTTCCATTTTATGTCAATATGTATAATAACTACTGAAATATAAAATACCCCGTTTTATCACCTAAAATCATGGTTCAGCCAGTCCTTTATGTAGTGCCTTCGAAGAAACAGTGACTTAAGAGACAAAAATATAGAAAGGCAGAAAAACAAGAAACAGTGTTCAGGAAGTCAGCTCTGCTCTGAAAAGAATTACAAAGACTATTTTTCCTATTTTTCTCTCTGTCATTTCCCAGGTAAATATTAAAATTTTCTTTAAAAAAAAGTACTACTAAATTTGCTTTGGTACTTGGGTTTGAATGCAAGGCCTTTACCCTTTAAGGCACAGCTCTACTCCTTAAAAATTACTAAGCTTAGGCTGGGAATATGACTTAGTGGTAGAGTGCTTAGCTAGCATGCATGAAACCCTAAGTTCGATTCCTCAGTACCACATAAACAGAAAAAGCCAGAAGTGGCACTCTAGGTCAAGTGGTAGAGTGGTAGCCTTGTGCAAAAAGAAGCTCAGGGACAGTGCCAAGACCCTGAATTCAAGCCTCGGGACAGTCAAAAACAAAAAACAACAACAACAAAAAACCCAAACCAAACCAAAACAAAAAACCCAAAAAACTGGGGCTGGGAAGATGGCTCAGTGGTAGAGCGCTTGCCTTGCATGCCTGAGGCCCTGGGTTTGATTCCTCAGCACCACATAAGCAAAAAGAAAAAAGCCGGAAGTGGCGCTGTGGCTCAAGTGGTAGAGCGCTAGCCTTGAGCTGAAGAGCTGAGGGACAGCACCCAGGCCCAGAGTTCAGGCCCCACGACCGGACCCAAAAAACAAACAAACAAAAAAAAACAACAAAAAACTACTAAGCTTAAGGTTATGTAAACTACAGTACTTGTGATCTTCTCCTAGATCTCTCCTATAGTGCAAGTCTCTCCTTAGTTCCTTTGCCCATTTAGTGATTGGCTTATTCATTTGGGAAGGGGTTAATTCCTTGAGCTCTTTGTATATTTTGGATATTAGGCCTTTGTCAGATATCAGGACTTATTACTTCCTCTGAAACTTGAAATGCACTCAAAGACACAGATGTAAAGAAAATAGTAAAACATTCTCTTAGGCAAAATTGAGATTACAACTTAAAATCTGGAGGAGTGGGGAGCTGGGTCACCACAAACTTCTTTTTTCTATTTTTTTCCCTCTGATATTGGGGATTAAACCCATCATCTGCAAATGTTAGCAAATATTCCACCAGCCATGATGGTTTCACAAAACATCTTTAAGATGCAATCCACATGCCATAAAATCCACTCATTTAATGTATAATATTTTTGTAATATTCAGCAAATATATAACATGTGATATATAACCATTACTACTGACTTCATCATAAAAAGGAATCTGGGGGCTGGGAATATGGCCTAGTGGTAGAGTGCTTGCCTAGCATACATGAAGCCCTGGGTTCAATTCCTCAGTACCACATAAACAGAAGCCAGAAGTGGTGCTGTGGCTTAAACAGTAGATCAAAAGAATCTCAGGGACAGTGCCCAGGCCTTGAGTTCAAGGCCTAGGACTGGCACACAAAAAAAGAAAAAAACAAACCCACAACAACCCAACAACACCAAAAAATCCCACTTCCTATTGTTGAGTGATATTCCTGGTGTCCACTATGTATTTTTTTAAACTCTCTAGATTTATCCATCCCAAACATTTCAAGGCAAGCTCTTTACCACTGAGCCACCTTCCCAGCCCCATCCCAAACATTTCATATAAATGAAAGCATAGCATGTATGGCCATAGTTAATTCTGTGTATTAACTTGTTAAACATAACAGCATCCAGTTATTTAACCATATACTAATCTAGATGTTGCTGTGAAGGTGTTTTATGGGTGTTATTAACATCTACAATTGATTTTAGATAAAACATATCCTTTGTGATATGAACCAGGTTATGCCATCGATATATAAAGAACTTCTAAAGCTTATTACAGAAGGTTACAGAATTAACTCCTGTCTCATTTTTCAGCCTACTGGCCTAGCCTACTAATTCTGGACTTACCTGGCCAAATAATGAATTCCCTAAAATAAATCCTACTGGTTCTATTTCTTTGGAGAACTCTGTACTCAGCTTCATTTTGGAGCATGTTATCAAGATTCCTATCGTAGCATGTGTCAGCATATCATTCATCTAGTGGGTAAGTAATCATTTCTCTTTCTCTCTCTCTATATATATATTTATAAATCTATATATCTGTCTCTCACATATAACTTCTATTAACTATTCCTCAGCTAGATATCCAAATTGTATATGTTTTGGCTATTATGAATAATATTGCTGTTAACATTTGTATTCAAATGTTATGTGGAC